GCAAATAAAAACAGAGACAGAGCAGCAGAGGATTATGACTGTGTTACTCTGGAAAATCATCGACACAGCAGAGCAGGGTCGGAGCAGTGGTGGCTGTAGCACACAGCTGACTTTGAATACATCTGAGTCTGATCAGGGTCCACTCTGTAGGTGGTTTAAACAAACGTCTATGCAGTATCATAATTCTCTTCTATAATAACCAGGTCATAAGTCTGCTGGTCCTGACCAAAGTGTAGAACAAGATGGATTTTTCTAACTCTACTGCATGCTGTGGCTGCAGATTGAGACGCAGGAGACCAGCAGGAGTTCTGTCACCTCTGCAAATCCCCCTTATAAAAACAGCAGTAACTGTTTTTAGACAGTCCAATGCTCTCCATCATGACTTCCTGGTTTCCACTGTTAGATTTCAGCAGCGCCACATAGTGGTGACTGCAGGCACAACCATGATACAATAACAATAATATGATTGGCCACAAGAGGCCTAATCTCTCTCTTCCATTGGCCTACAACATTTAAACACACACCCGGGAAGTCGAAAACCACTCCCCCACACAGGTATAAAAGCGCACATCACTGATGATGCACTAGAAGGCTATTCTTGACTTTGCGTACTGGTAACTGTTGTATGAGATTTTCTTGAATACTTCTCCAGTCGTTTTATTTTACTCGTTGGACGCTGTTTCATTCCATGCCTGAGACTACATAGAGGTGATTTCTTCATTTTGGTGCTGTGACTACGGGGAGAAGAGATCCTCCAATTGGTGTTGTGCTCAGGAACGAAGAAGGGCCAAATCGTTTAACTGGGCCGTGAACCGGATTGGTTATACCAATAATCTTTCAACTGGTGCCGTGACCCAGATCGAAATATAGCAAGAATATTTCACCACATAGAATTTAAGCTTGGTTTTATGAATTACACTCTGATGTGGACAGATGTAGGTACTACCACAGTCCTTTTAAGGACTCTAACTCCCATAATTCCACTGATTCCGGTAAAACCACATACGTCAGTACCTCCGCAACACAGGATTCCTTCTAACAGTAATCGTGTGAACCGGCACATCGACAGTCAGAGACTTTTCCTCCCGAAACGGACTTTCGGAACCAAGAGGACTCTCTGCACACAGTGGAACCAGACGGACGTCCCCAGCTCTGGCAAGGACCCAAGAAGTGCGGACTTTCCACTACCCTCTAAATACGAGCAGACGTTCACTACAGTAAGACTGGCATTTGGGCACGTTAGTTAATCTGTAGTATTGCTAAGTGCTATTTAAACTTAGGGACAGTTTAAGTGCGCATATTGAATTTTGTTGTCTGAAATCTGTGCTGCTTTTATAGCTAGGCTGTTGCATGCACTTCTTTTCTAACCTCCTGACTCGGTGTAGCTAAGAGGCAACATCTATCTATCGTCTCTGTGTTTTCTTACTTTCCTAGTCACGTTGCGTGACCGCGCACGTCACCACGCCTCGAGAGCTCAGTCACTCGCTCCCCAGCGAGAAGATAACGTCTCTCCCTCCTTCCATTTTCTCTCCTTTTCCCTCATCTACACACACACGTACACACACACACACACCTATACACACTATTGTGCCTTGTTTTATTGCTGTGATCATTGTTTATACGTTCTATCACCGTTATTAACTTAACGGTGTTGTATTAATAAATCTGATTACTGTTAACTGTATTTGTCTGCATTGTCGTTTTATTCATTGAAGCCACCCAATTTGCCAAGATCTATAAAAATCTTGCTATAGGAAGCGTTTAGAGGTTGTTATTTCTGCAAAAGGAGGATCTACTAAATAGTGATGTAATTTTTTTTGTTGGGGTGCCCAAATTTATGCACCTGCCTACTTTTGTTTAAGTAATTATTGCACACTTTCTGTAAATCTTCCGAACAACCAATGATACATAATGGAAAATCTTAAATGATCAGGGGTGCCCAAACTTTTTCATACCACTGTATACTATGTATATTAATACATATTTAGATCAATCACAATTAATCAAGACTAATTGTGATCTTAATCAGCATGATTAATGATGATTAATCCAGCTAATCCAGTAGGTAAATGTATGTGTTTTACACCGGTTTTTATTTGTGACTAATTCAAATTGATGGAATTATAAATACAAGAAATGTAAGTAAAGTAAAATATGTAAAATCATCCATCCATCATCCTCTGCTTATCCGGGGCCGGGTCGCGGATTATATAAAACCATAACTCAAAATTTTGCCTCAGAGTTCTTTTTGTCTTTTTATTTTAGAAAATTTTAGTCATTTGGCGCTTTGGCCCAGAGGCAATGTCTCTGTCATTGGTGTGGAACCCCAGGGTTCAGCTCCTGGGCAAGATTGAATCCCGTTTAGGGCGGTTTGTACCTTCCAGTGGACTCACCACCTGCAGGAAGGTTTAGGGGGGTTGGTACGGTGCAGTGTAATTTGGGTGGCATTCATGGAGACTGCTGCCCCCGCAACCCGGTAACAGATATGTGGATGGAAATGGATGGATGGATTTTAGTAACGCGCAGTAACGGCAAGTTGGTGACGGTAACGGCGTTATAACGATAAAGTAAATAGTTAGATTAACCGTAACTGAAAAAAGTAATGCCTTTAGTATTCCCATCACTGGTTGTGACACAGTTTGCAAATTCAGTAAGTCACTAAAAATTTCAAATTCCAGTAGGGCCCCAGGGTTTTGGCCCAGAATTTTATAAAACATTTAGTAAAATATTAGTTGGCCCGCTGACTGACATGTATATCGATTCATACACTAGGGATTCACTTCCAGCCACCTTAAACCTGGCAAATATTGTTCTCTTCTTAAAAAGGATAAACCACCTGATGTCTGTGGCTCTTACAGACCTATTAGCCTAATACCAGTTGATAGCCTGAGATCAACCAAAGTCTCTTAGCAGTAAGCTAAGTAAGTGATATGTTAACACACACAAAGAGCTCAAATACAGAAACAAAGGTCATTGTATTTACCTTTTATTTGTTTAAAGCTCAAAGAATTGTAGGTGCAATGGGTCGAGTGCTGCTTAGGAGCACTCGGTGTTATCAACCAGTCTCAAATTAATAACACAACCAGTCTCATTAAAGTTATCTTTAATTATTATTTTAACCTACTAATATAGCAATAATGTATTACTTTAAGTATTACAAATATACTAAAATCAATAGTATCCAATAACAATTAAATATCTGAAGGATTTTGAGAGTTCTTGGCAAATTGGGTGGCTTCAATGAATAAAGTAACAACACAGACAAATACAGTTTACAAAAATAATCAAATTTATTTATACAACACTGTCAAGTTAATGACGGTGATTGAACTCATAAACAATGATCATTATAACAAAACAAGGCGTGTGTGTAGGGGTGTGTGTGTACTTATGTGCGTGTGTACACGAGCGGTCGTGTACGAGAGAGAAAGAGAGAGAGAGATGTTGCCTCTCAGCTACCAAGCAAGCGACTGAGCCCTTGAGGCGTGTTCACATACGCGACTGCGCAGTGGAAGAAGAACTGCGAGGTAGAAGGAACGGCAACAGGAAACACGTGAGGCGTGTATGCGCTCACGGAGGTGTGAATGGGTGTTGTGTACGCGCACCAAGATGCGCTCAGGTACAATGAAACAGTGCTTGTGATGTTATCAAAGTATATGGGGGAAGGGAGGCGTACCGCGTGGTCTACTCCAGACAAAGGACTTTGTCGGAGTTTTCCTGATCCCAATACTGATAACGTTCCAAGTTAACACTGAAATACTGACGGTGTACAAGAGTATAACACCGAGTCAGGAGGTTAGAAAAGAAGTGCATGCAACAGCCTAGCTATAAAAGCAGCACAGATTTCAGACAACAAAATTCAATATGCGTACTTAAACTGTTCCTCAGTTTAAATAGCACTTAACAATACTACAGGTTAACTAACGTGCCCAAATGCCAGCCTTACTGTAGTGAACGTCTGCTCGTATTGAGAGGGTAGTGGAAAGTCCGCACTTCTTGGGTCCTTGCCAGAGCTGGGGACGTCCGTCTGGTTCCACTGTGTCCAGAGAGTCCTCTTGGTTCCGAAAGTCCGTTTCAGGAGGAAAAGTCTCTGACTGTCGATGTGCCGGTTCACACGAATACCGTTAGAAGGAATCCTGTCGCTTCTAACTTTTCAATAACTGCTTTGGTCGCAGCGCTACGTTACTTGTGTAACTTAATTACCGGTTAACTCAGTTAAGAAAAAGACGCTACTAGTGCATTTATCACCGTGGGCAATGGTGTCTACAAAAGCGCGTTGGTTCTTAGTCTTCTGAGACGAGCAGGTTTCTCTTATCATCAGGGTCCTACGGAGCGAAAGTCCTGAACAGTAGGGGTGGGCGGATCGATCCAAATATCGATATTATCGATACTAAGCAAGTACCTGGATCGGATCGATACTGTTGTCCTGGGATCGATACTTCGCTCCTCCACCAATTTCCTCAAAGCACCGATTCTCTGCGCAAATAGCGCAGCCCCCTCTCTCTCTCGCCCAGCGCCCCCTGCTACTCTCTGAGTCTCTGCCTGAGTGAGTGACTCAGGCACACTTTTAGCCCCTCCCCCTACCTGGCCACTGGCCTGCTGCATCCTGCCTGCCAGGAAGAGAGGGCGACGGGAGAGTGAGAGCAGCCGGAACCTAAAGCAATGGCAGAGCCAAACAAGAAGCGGAGCGCGGTGTGGACTTTTTTTACAACAACAGAAAAACACAGTGCCAAGTGTGATTTGTGTAATAAAGTGGTCCGCTACTGTGGTAACACCACGAATTTACACAAACATATGAAAAAAGCTCACCCTACAGAGAGCAACGAGCTGCAAGCAAAGAAGTTGAGGGAGGAGGGGGGGGATCCCCAAGCCAGAACACCCCCGCGGACACAGAGACAATGTACTCTGGCAGATGCTTTTCAGCCAAAAAATCAACAATACCCAGGTCAGGGTTATAAACAAACAAACTTCGCAAAAGTTTTGGTTGTCTGCTTCGCACCAGCTTTTTACGGGTAATTTTAGTACGCAGCAATAATTAAACAAGTTCTCGATGTAACAGAATTGGCATCAAACCATTTTTTTTCCTAATTAGTCAATTAAATTGAAGAATAGCTGCAGCCCTAGTTTTATTGGAACCCAAAAATATAGCTACCCATATAAAGATAGGCTCTATACCTCAAACCTGAAATATGAATATTACTGACTATAATAACTCTTTAGTGTTAACTGTTGAAGGAAAAGTAGCATTCCTATTTAGGCTATTTTCAGATTACAGTTACAGACTTAATCATTTTGTCATTTCACCTAGATAATTCACAAAGAGCCAAGGACATCACAAAGAGTATTGCCATGATGATCGTGAAGGACCTACAACCCCTCTCTGTGGTTGAACAGGAGGGTTTCAAGAATTTAATAAAGACACTTGATCCCCGCTACAGGATGCCAAGTAGGAAATTTTTCATGGGAGAAAAAATACCTTCATTGTATGAAGAGTGTTGTTCTAAAGTTAAAAGGTGTCTGGATGCTGCTCACAGCGTTGTACTGACCACTGACATGACTAAGCATCCACTTATTTATAAAGCAAAGACAGTGGCTCGTTACAATTACGGGCTACCACAGAGTTCTACTGCTGCAAAAAAAATTTTAGTGATAGTGGTTTGTGTTGTCATGGGGGTGGATTGGGGTGTAAGAAAATATTGATACACTGAAATATCTTAATGTATTATTTCACAATAGTGTATTGATATTCTACATCACTGTATCTTTTTTTTATAATTAATAGTTAACATGAAAATATTCTTGGTGTTGGTTCATTTCATTTTTGCTTTTATTCCTTTTGTAGTGATTACAAATGTAGCGCCGATGCTCTTATTTACACTTAAACATCAAGAACATATTTACTATTTACATATTATTACTGTAAACAAAAATAGGCCAGGATTCAATGCAAATGCTTTATCATGTTTTTAGGATTAAGATTAAGATTTCCTTTATTGGACCCACAGTGGAGAAATTGACAGTGTTGACAGCAGCAAAGTACAATATGCGGTATAAAGAGTGAAGTCTAGCATAGTGCTTTACAAATAAGATATCAGCTTGCAATTTTGTAGTTTTCCAGTTTACAGGTATAGTTACTTTGAGATATTGCAATTGAGATAATAAATCAATTAATTATAGAAGATAATAATACAGAGAAACAAAGACTGTACATAATGACAGTCAAACAATTTGACATGTTACGATTTTTACCATTATACTTAAATAAACAGGTGAGTGACATTCCACATGAGAATGGACATTTTTGCTATTACACAAGGTAATGCTAGTTATACAGTTATTGCACATATACAGTTTTAGTATGGTGTATTGATGACTACATACCCTGATCACTTCCCTCTGTATCTGTCTCTGGTCTCTCTGTCCTACTGTCACCTCCTTCATCTTGAAAAGGTGATTTCTCACGGCAGCTAGGAGCACACACAGGGAACAAGTGGAGCAAATCCGCTTTCTTCTCGTTCTCCAAACCAGCAGACAGTTGGCAGGTATGTCCATCACTTGATATGGTCACATATGTTTATTATTAAAAAACTATTTCACATGGTGTTTAATGACAACATGAGACACGTGTATCTGTCTTTCTTGCCTGCAGTATGTGGTTTATAGACCTGGCAGGAAGTGAAAGGGCATCAGACACCAAAAAAACAAACAGACACAGTCGCATAGAAGGAGCTGAGATCAACCAAAGTCTCTTAGCAGTAAGCTAAGTAAGTGATATGTTAACACACACAAAGAGCTCAAATACAGAAACAAAGGTCATTGTATTTACCTTTTATTTGTTTAAAGCTCAAAGAATTGTAGGTGCAATGGGTCGAGTGCTGCTTAGGAGCACTCGGTGTTATCAACCAGTCTCAAATTAATAACACAACCAGTCTCATTAAAGTTATCTTTAATTATTATTTTAACCTACTAATATAGCAATAATGTATTACTTGAAGTATTACAAATATACTAAAATCAATAGTATCCAATAACAATTAAATATCTGAAGGATTTTGAGAGTTCTTGGCAAATTGGGTGGCTTCAATGAATAAAGTAACAACACAGACAAATACAGTTTACAAAAATAATCAAATTTATTTATACAACACTGTCAAGTTAATGACGGTGATTGAACTCATAAACAATGATCATTATAACAAAACAAGGCGTGTGTGTAGGGGTGTGTGTGTACTTATGTGCGTGTGTACACGAGCGGTCGTGTACGAGAGAGAAAGAGAGAGAGAGATGTTGCCTCTCAGCTACCAAGCAAGCGACTGAGCCCTTGAGGCGTGTTCACATACGCGACTGCGCAGTGGAAGAAGAACTGCGAGGTAGAAGGAACGGCAACAGGAAACACGTGAGGCGTGTATGCGCTCACGGAGGTGTGAATGGGTGTTGTGTACGCGCACCAAGATGCGCTCAGGTACAATGAAACAGTGCTTGTGATGTTATCAAAGTATATGGGGGAAGGGAGGCGTACCGCGTGGTCTACTCCAGACAAAGGACTTTGTCGGAGTTTTCCTGATCCCAATACTGATAACGTTACAAGTTAACACTGAAATACTGACGGTGTACAAGAGTATAAGACCGAGTCAGGAGGTTAGAAAAGAAGTGCATGCAACAGCCTAGCTATAAAAGCAGCACAGATTTCAGACAACAAAATTCAATATGCGTACTTAAACTGTCCCTAAGTTTAAATAGCACTTAACAATACTACAGATTAACTAACGTGCCCAAATGCCAGCCTTACTGTAGTGAACGTCTGCTCGTATTTAGAGGGTAGTGGAAAGTCCGTGCTTCTTGGGTCCTTGCCAGAGCTGGGGACGTCCGTCTGGTTCCACTGTGTCCAGAGAGTCCTCTTGGTTCCGAAAGTCCGTTTCAGGAGGAAAAGTCTCTGACTGTCGATGTGCCGGTTCACACGAATACCGTTAGAAGGAATCCTGTCGCTTCTAACTTTTCAATAACTGCTTTGGTCGCAGCGCTACGTTACTTGTGTAACTTAATTACCGGTTAACTCAGTTAAGAAAAAGACGCTACTAGTGCATTTATCACCGTGGGCAATGGTGTCTACAAAAGCGCGTTGGTTCTTAGTCTTCTGAGACGAGCAGGTTTTCTCTTTTCATCGAGGTCCTACGGAGCGAAAGTCCTGAACAGAGAGAACGATATTGGGCTGACCCCCCAATTTAAAGGTTGCGGAGGTTACTGATCGTGACGTATGTGGATTTACCGGAAGCAGTGGAATTATGGGAGTTTGAGTCCTTGAAAGGACTGTTGTAGTACCTACACTACTTTCTAAACTACTCACTCGGTGGCTGGAAAATGTACTCCCATCCCTTATTAATCCTGATCAGACAGGTTTTATCCAAGGTCACTATTCTTTTAGCAACATGAGAAGGCTTCTAAATGTGGTATACTTTTCATCTCTAAAGAAACAAAACTTTGGCTCGGAGGGTATTTTCTTAAATTCAAACCATAAACCATTCTCCAACAGCTACGTACGACGATCTGAACCATTTTCTTTGGCAAGAGGTGTCTGCCAGGGCTGCCCTCTAAGCCCACTCCTCTTTGCCTTAGCACTAGAACCATTAGCTGAATGCATACGTCAACATGCTGAGATCAAAGGAATGCTGATGGGAAACACTGGACATAAAATCGCCATGTATGCAGATGATATTCTTTTATTTCTAACATCACCTAAACAATCTATTCAAGCTATTCTGGCAACTTTTGCTAAGTTCAGTTTTATATTTGGTTACAAAATGAATCTAAGTAAACTTGAAGCTATGCCGCTGGGGGTATTGAAAGTAACTGATGTTGGAGATAATTTTCCTTTCAAGTGGACGTTCAGTGGCTTCCTATACCTTGGAATAAAAATATCCCCTGATCTGAGTGAAATATGGAAACTTAATTTTGCTCCAATCTGTGCACACATTAAAAGAGATTTAGATCGCTGGCAAAAACTTCCCTCATCAATGATGGGAGAAATCAGTTTAATTAAAATGAATGTCCTCCCCATCTCCTGTAGCCTCTACAGATGCTGCCCTTATACATACCTAAAAAAACTAACCAGGATTTAGAAAAGGCACTCAATATTTTTATTTGGCATGGTAAAAAACCAAGACAGAAACTTAAAATATTGCAATTACCTCCAAATATGTATATTGATTCATGGGCATCTTCTTCTTGTGATTAAACAAAAATACCTCCTGTTGTTAAAAAAATCATATATAACAGTATTAGCATCTGGCAGGATATAGCTAAACATATCAGTGGGATTTTCAAATTAAAAATAAAGAAAGATCCAGGTGTCTTCCTTCTTTGCCTTCCCTCTAGGCAACTAAAAATGTCTGCTACATACTTCTGGAGAAACTGCTCTTGATAGCCTGAAAATGCATCTTGCATAAGTGGACTAAAGAATATCCACCCAATATAATCCTTTGGTACAAGGAGGTTTTCAATACTCTACCCCATGGAAGGCTGCATGCAATTGTGAAGGAGAAAGAGGAGTATTTTTTAAAGATTTGGTCTCCCTTTCTAAATTATATACCAAAGCAACTGAGAGATTTGCTTTTAAAAGGAGAGCTTTTCAAAAACTTCCATGACTGCCTTGTAGGTTGGGGATTCTGCATCATCACAGTAGCTTGGTGTTTGTCTTCGGTTCTCTGATTTGGGCTGCACACATTTGTTGCACATTTCTAAGGTTTATTGTTACTATTGCTCAGTCTGTGTTTAATTATTTTCTGTATATTCAATGGCTGTCTAGGGTGGGATGGGAGGGTATGGGATTGCTGTGTTGTTTGGTTTCTGTTCTGTTAAACTTGTTAAAATTCAATAAAAATACTTTTAATTCAAATTCCAGCTAAGAGGAATCTGTGGTAAATTCAGAGGTTTAGTCTGTGCTGCATTCACTGAATTGGATTAATATTACTCCATCCAATATTACTTATTATTACTAATTATTATTTCATTGTCCGAATGTAGATACAATTATGCAAACTTTAAAATACAACTAAATTATGAATAGCTAGCAAAATATATTCATTGATTTATTTATTTAAGCTGTTGGGGTGCTATAGCAAGGTTAAGATTCAACCTTTACCTTAACCATAACCTTATTCAGTAGGTAGCTACGGCACCCCAAAGCCCCCAGTCCTGGTGCCAGCTATGTCTAAAATCTTTGTTAAGAAATTAAGTTTATAATTTATTTTTAATTTGCATAAAATTATAAATAACACATGCAAGTGTTTCTTTTTAAATTATGAATGAATGAAGTCAACGTGGATACACAGTTCCACAACAACAGCCAGCACCAAGCATTAGATCTGTAGCTCTGTGTGCTCTGTGAATGTGGAATTTATTGACTCATCTGCCAAAAAAAGATTTCTTGGAAATAAAAAAGAAGCCTTTGGCGAAGGAAGGCTGTACTGTAAACAGAAGAATACAAACATCAGGATGTTGGCTGAGCAGACAAGGCAGACATCAGAGACATTCTATAATTAAAACAAAACAAAACATCCACAGCACTTGAGGTACAGGCTGCTTTCTGCTGTATCTGAAACACAATTATGTGACCATTGGCAAACACTGGTGCCAAACACAGCCATTTTTCCTCCTTGCCACCAGATGGTTCCATTTAGAGTTAGATGTACGCTGTTTGTATTCTACTTAGCGCCCGGGTCATAATGGATTCCCTAGTGATTATAAAACACCTGCTCGGGAAAATAAAACAAACAGAGACACTGGCTGGGCCCCTGAACTAAATACCTATGTGATCAGGTTAAAATGGTGCAGAGCTGGTTCTGGGCTGGTACTTATCTGTGGACACAAACCCTCAGCAGATGTCCCACCTATAGAGGTAAGAGGCTCATCCACAAAAAGAAAAAGAAAAAAAAACATGCGCGTATCCTCACAGTCTCTCTCAGAGCTAATTGGCTGTTTGCTCAATAGAGAGAAAGGCTTGTTTCCACAAAGGGGTCGTGTATGATGGTCTGTGGTCTCTTCACATGCTCAGCTATAGAGTTTAATGTGGTTTTGGGGGTTACTCTGTCCCAAGGCTCCCTCAAAAGGAACATGTTTGTTCAGTAGTGTGATGAGGATGATGCAGATGGACAGGCAGCTGTCAGGGCCAGGGGTCACCACACACTCAGGAGCATCGGAGAGAGTAATTCATTTTAACATTCGGTTTTTAGCAATGTAGAATTTATTACTCTTTTTTATACTGTGAAAAAGATGAAGTATTTACAGATCATTTTTTCAATTGACAACTTTCCTGTTGTATATTGAACAACTGTTTTTTGTAATTATCTTTTGTGTGTTATATGAGTCCATGCATCAAATTGATGTTGAAATAACATTTCCTAGTATTCAAATGATGACTATGCCAATTTTGTAAGTTTTTCTCATTTAGGTGCAGGTTTTACTCCATGTACTTTGTTTTCCCTCTGCAGGCCAAACACACACAGCATAAGGGTAAAACACACACTTTAACTTGACCATAGGAATGAATCTGAGTGTGTATGTCTATGGATGTAACCCTATAGATAGATCGATAGATAGATAGATAGATTGATTGATTGATAAATTGATAGATAGATAGATAGATAGATAGATAGATAGATAGATAGATAGATAGATAGATAGATAGATAGATAGATAGATAGATAGATAGATAAATAGATAGATA